TCTTACATTATTATAACATGTAGCTCATTGTCTGTAGGACTCTTTGCCTGGGAGTCTACTCCATGTAGCCACATGAGCTTCTTATGTGTTATGATTGCATGCATGTTACACCTCTCTTCCATCCTTTATGTTTAGCCTGTGATGTTTCTAAAATACATATACTTGAACTATATAGTCAAATCTTGTCTTGTGCATCTGACAACTGGATTTTTAATTGGAATATTAGATCATTCCTTATTATTGTTCTGGGCTTGGTCATTCTTTAACCCTCTTGTCTTATTCTGGGTAAGTCTTTTTTTTCAGCTCTCTACTACATCTACTTTGATTAGGTTTTTTTTTTTTTTTTGGTCCTTTTTGAGACAGGGTCTCCCTGTAGCCCCAACTGACCTGGAACTTGCTATGTAGACTAGGCTGGCCTTGAGCTCACAGAGATCCACCTGCCTCTGCCTCCCAAGTGCTGGGACTAAAGGCGTGTGCCACCACACCGGCTACTTTGATTAGTTTTATATCTACGACTTTGAGCTATTTTTAGTGGTCACTCCAGAAATTACAGCATGTACCCTGCAGCAGAACATACCTTCAAGTAATCACTCACTGTACAATATAAGACTCCATCGTGTCCCACTGAGCCTCTCCTGTCCCCAGCACTCTTGTTTTATACTTAATTTCTACATAAACTCTGCACTACAGTTTTCATATTTATGATGTGAAATGCCGCTAGCTTTCTGAGCAGCTTAGACAAACATGTATAAGAATTAAAAACACTAAAAATAGCCAGGCACGGTGGTGCACGCTTTCAGTTCCAGCACTCCGGAGGCAGAGGCAAGCCAATCTCTGTGAGATCAAGGTCAGCCTGGTCTAAAGCTGGAGCTACAGGGAGGCCCTGTCTGAAAAAGGCCGAAAAGAGAAACAAAACAAAACTAAAAAGCACTAAAAGTAGTTGTTTCCTATTTATTGTGGTATTTAAATATTTGTTTTTCTAATGTCCTTTTCTTTTGGTGGACCCAGCATTTCATCTGCAGTCAGCTTTCCTCAGCCTGAAGAACTTTTGCAGCACTTTTTATAATGCAGATCTGTTGGAGATTTAATTCTCTCTGCTTTGTCTCAAAATGTCTTCATTTTACCTTCTTTTTCGAGGGTACTTTTGGGTATATTTTTGTCACCTCGTTAAGCATTTTCATCTATTTTTTTAATATTTTATTTATTATTTTTTTTTATTTTATATGTATGAGTGTATTGCCTGCATGTGTGTGAGTGCACCTGTGTCATGCAATGCTGTGGAGGTCAGAAGAGGGCGTCGGAGGGCGTCAGATTCCCCTCAAATTGGAGTTAAGGACGGTTTGTAGCTGCCATGTGGGTGCTGGGAATGGAACTCAGGTCCTCTGCAAGAGCAGTCAGTGCTCTTAACTGCTGAGCCCTCTCTCCAGCCCCTCATCTATTGTTTTTAACATAAAGTCATAAGATTTACCTTGTTTCAGAGGTAGGATAGAGCTTTCCTTGTGCTTATTCTGCTTGGCAGATTCAAAGTGTGTAAGAGGAAAGCACAGACTGCTTTTCCTGTTTACTCTCAATGAAGAACACTTCTGTGATCAGATATGTGGTTTTCTACACCAAGAAATTCTGACTTTAGCTGTGTGTTACAATTCAGTCTGATCCTATTCTGACAGGAATTAGTGCAGACCCAAGAGGAAGCATTCAGCTCCATGAGACTGGCCTCACTTCAGACAGCATCACAAATCCACTTGCCTGTTATGCTCTGACTAACTAGGTATAAATCAGAGGTTGCCACAACCCCCTTCTTGGTTTTGATCCTTTGCTAGAATGGTTCCTAGAACTTAGGGAAACTGTTGATTAATTCTCTGGCTTATTATATTGATAGGGAATGTGATAAAGGACACAAGTGAGCTGTCAGATGGAGACAGTGAGAACTCTGGAAGGCCCCAGACATACATGCTTGTGTCCCTGTGTGACTTGCTACCTTCTGCTCATGGGTGTGTTCACCAGCCTAGATGCTCTCCAAGCCTTCTAGTGGAAGGCATTTTTATCGAGGCTTCTTTGCTTAGGCATTGTCAATTATTAAGTCAATCTCCTGGTCCTCTCTCCTTCCTCAAGGGTGGGTGGTGCTGGAAGCCATAAGCCTCTAATCATGACAAGAGTCTTTCTGGTGGCTAGCTTCCACACAGGAGCTGTGAGAGTCTCCCTTCTAGAACAAAAGAGGCTTCTGTTCCAGGGAGCTGTGTCAGAAACTGAGTCAGAAACCAGATATTAGAGCAAAGATATACAGAATACCCCTATGCCGGGAACATGGAACAGAGTCCAGATATTTGTATATAGTTCTGTTACTGGCTGCCAGAGAAATCACAGTCTGTTTACAGTGTTCATCAGCTGTCAACCATTTTGTCCTTTAATATTTCTTCTGTCTTGCTGTTTGTTCTCGTGTAACATGAGCTATTTTTGTGTGCATATGTTTCACATAGTCCGTCATCACAGATAGTCAAGTCTGTACTTTTTGCATTCCTTTTTAAATTTTATTTTGTTTTAGTTAGGACACTTTTATTAGTCTGTTTTCTGCTTTCCTGGACTTCTCCTGGGTATCCAGTCTGCTGTTGAGCTTATTACGTCCTTTCTGGTTCAGATTTTCTTTTCTGTATTTCCTTTGAGTTCTTTCTCACAGTTCTGTTTCTCTGCTGAAATGTCTCTTCACACGTGGTCGGTCTTTTCTTCTAGGTCCTTGAGCGCAGTTATGGACTCTGCAGTCTCACATGTTCATTTGTCCCTCACACTGAATCTTTACTGGCTTGAGCTTACGGCATATGTTTTGCTTCTTATATCTTATATTTTTTACTATGTGATAGTGTGTCTCAAGGAGAATTGACATATATAATATTTAGCTCCAGAAGGGGTCGTGCCTCCCCTTCTTCTGTCAGGCTGCTTGGATTGAGGGCTCCCTCAGTGGAATTTGTGCCAGAGCTGGATTCAGGCATTGCCACATCTATTGCTAGCTTGAGATCAGCTCTGCCTGCACTCTGGTAAGGCTGTGTCACAGACATAAGATCGGAGCACTTGAGAATTCTGGGTGTCTTTGTGCTTTCAGGCTGAGACCCTGTCTTGCAGAATGGTGGGCGGTTTCGCTCGCTTTCCGCTCTTGGCGCTCCACTCTGGCTCCCTCCTCTGAAGCTGCCTTTATCCCCTTCTGTGATAAGCCACCCCTTCTCCCGCCACTCACCTACTTTTCTTTTCCTTCTTGAAATCAAATTCATTTAGCTGTCTTTGCACCTCAGATTTCTGATGGATTGAAAAGTTCATGAGGAGTCCCCTCCTTGGTTTGCTCTGGCCTTTGGCAGAGCTTCCGGAGTCTCTTCCAGGGTTCGTTTTCTGCCCTGAAACCAGCCCCTATGTCAAGTCGTGACATTTGCAAAGACATTTCACTACCTACCTTTGTGCTGGGGATTGAACCAGGGCTCATGTGCGCTAAACATGTGCTCCAGCACCAAGCTGCACTCCCAGGCCGGTGAGATTTATTTTTAAAAATGCTTCATTTAGCCGGGGCGTGGTGGTGCACGCCTTTAATCCCAGCACTCGGGAGGCAAAGGCAGGCGGATCTTTCTGAGTTCAAGGCCAGCCTCGTCTACATAGTGAGTTCCAGGACAGCTGGGGCTATAGGGAGACCCTGTTTCAAAAAGACCAAAAAAAATTTTTTTTAAGTTTTATTTCATATTTTTATTTTATGTGTATGAGTGTATTGCCTGCATGTATGTAAGTGCACCCATGTCCTGTTATCCTGGAGGAGGTCAGAAGAAGGCACCAGATTCCCTGAACCTGGATTATGGATGGTTATTAGTTGCCATCTGGATGCTGAGAACAGAACCCAGGTCCTCTGCAAGAGCAGCCAGTGCTCTTAACTGCTGGCCATCTCTCCAGCACACACACACACATATATAATTTAATGCAGTAACACAAAAGATGCCTTTTCTATTCCTAAAATGTTTAATTAAAAAATCTTCTCTGCCGGGCGTGGTGGTACATGCCTTTAATCCCAGCACTCGGGAGGCAGAGGCAGGCAGATCTCTGTGAGTCTGAGGCCAGCCTGGTCTCCATGGTGAACCCGGGACAGCTGGGGGTAAAGGGGGGCCCTTTTTAAAAAAAAAAAAAAAAAAAAAAAAAAGTCTTCTCACTTTCTGATTTATTAACTAAAAAATTAGTGAAGTTGTAAATAACCAAAATATCAATATTTTAGGGAAATTACTTATTTATATAACTGGATTAAAAATAAATCTTGGGGCTGGAGAGATGGCTCAGCAGTTAAGAACATTGGCTGCTCTTACAGAGGACCTGGGTTCAGTTCCCTGCACCCACATGGCAGCTAACAACGATCTGTAATCCCAGTTCCAGGGGATCCATCGCCCTCTTCTGACTTCTGTGGGCATTGCATGACATGGGTGCATTTACATGCATACAGGCAATATACTCATATACATAATAAAATATTTTTTAATTATATATGTGTATACACACACGCACGCACGCACACAGATATTTTGACCTGGCCTTCAAGTAATTGTAATTCTGTGGTCAAAGTCTGATAAAATAAATGTGCTATAGATAGGGTCTTGCTGTGTGGTCCAAGTTACTCTTGAACTCAAGATACTCCTGCTTCCGGATCCCCAGTGCTGGGATTACAGCTGTGCATCACCACACCAAGTTCTTAATGACACAAAAGTAGAAAGTTGTGTGAACGTAAGAACAGTTTCAGAACCATTTATTTTGGGAGGAATAGGATTTCAGCTAGAGGGCTATTGACTTTATATACTTGTCTGCCTTTGTTTCTGTGACACATAATCTATGCTGTCAATAAAAGGACAGGCTTTCATTATGCCACCAAAAGAATGTCAAGTTAATGTAGTGTTTAGATGCTATAACACAAATTCGCACTGTGGATAAGCCTAGATAATAGATCAGTTTCTGACTTTTCTTACTTTTGCTGCTAAACATCTCTTCAGATTCCAAAGTGTTTCTGAAAAGCTCCGTATGGAATGCAAAGCAGAAATGGTGACGCCACTGGTGACAAATCCTGGACACGTGTGCATTACGGACACTAACCTGTATTTTCAGCCTCTCAATGGGTACCCGGTATGTAGACCATGGGGCTGCGTGCACTGCTGCTTCTGTCTTTGAGCTCCATTTTCCAGGAACTTAGCATCATAGTTACTGTGCCCTCACATCCTGGGGAAGGGTCCATTTGGTACTAGTGCATCTTCAAAGTGCCTTGCTTATTCAGGTGCACATTCACCCAAATGCAGTCTGCTCTGATCTGCTTCCAGCCATTCTAAGGTCCTTGCTCTTGGTACTGTGAAAAGAAGCCCTGCCCCTCCCAATTGTAACATGGGTCAAGAGAAATTTCTCTTTCTGCTAGAAGCACCCTGGAAGACACCAAGAAAATGTGCTATAGCTAAATGAAACGGGTGTTTCCTGCACACCTGCCTGCATATAAATATAAACTACTTGTTTCTCCTTCCTTATAGACAGACAGTGGCTCTGAATTTTGAACAGCATTGTCAACTGGCTCTCTCTCAGCTTATGTGGATGTGTGTAGAGGTGCTGCAGTCTGGATTTATAGAACTCTTCCCACAATCTAGAAAGCAATCTTCTGTTTTACAAGAATCTAGACTTAAGGTTATGCTAGAAAGTAAACATGAACTCTGATCTCTATACTAGTCACACTTATAAATATTTGTTACTTACCTAGAACTGGTCCTTTTTGGAGTGGGCCATTAAAGGAACAGGAGTTAGGACCCCCTGGAAGTACAATTGGGCCATCTGGCAGGGAACCCCAAAGAATAGGGAGTGTTTTCTGTGGAAGAAGGTTACACCCTAAAATTTCCTCAGACATGGCACCAAATTTAGCTGAGTCCAAAATGGTGCTATAACGATTCTGTCCACTAGATGGTGGCACAAATCCTCCAGCAGACATGGTACCTGGCCTGAATCATGCTCTCCAGCAATGGTGTAAATAGGCTTGACTGCTGCCAACTTTTAGAAAAATGCCTGAGTATATGCCACAATTTCAGGGTCCTTAGTGTGAGCACATATCTCTTCCTAAAGCCCTGGCCAGGTTCCTTGATCTGCCTTAGGATCCTCGAGGTATTTTTTGTTGCTAACCTGGCCGCCCTCCCAGTCCCCTGGGAGCAGAAAGGTTGATGCCTTTAGCATTAGCACTTCCTAATCTTGATTCTCTCTTAGTAGCGTTTTAAAGCTCCAGGGAATCAAGAACTTTTTTTTCCTTAAAAAAGAAAGTTTAGAGGGCTTGCCTTAAACTGTAATAATTTGTGAACTTTAATATTCTGTAATGTTAAGGAGATAATTCTTTAAAAACACATGTATACCTACATACATATATTATATCATAGGACTGAGCACATCCTAAAGCAAGATTCAGGGGTAGAGAGATGGCTCAGTGATTAAGAGTGCTTGCTGCTCAGTCATCTAGACTGGAGTTCAAATCCATAACAAGAAAGGTGTGCTATGTATACCTGTAACCCCAGTCCTGGCAGGGGGTGATAGAAAACAGGTTCAAGGAGAGGCCCTGTCTCTCAAAGTCATAAAGTAAAAAAATAGCAGAGGAGAGTGTGAAACCAGATGTGCTTTGTTCCAGGATCTCGCCTGCTGGCCATTCGCTTGCAACACCCTGGGAAAGCTAGAGTTTGTTAGTTCTTTCCCTCCTCCCTTTAAGATACAAAAGAATAACTTCTAATTGTGTCAGAATGATGATGTCTGACGTTGTCTTTGTACTTTTTAAAGAAACCTGTGGTCCAGATAACACTCCAAGATGTCCGCCGCATTTACAAAAGGAGGCATGGCCTCATGCCTTTGGTGAGTTGAAGTGCAGTCCCTGTTCTTGGTGGGTGATTGTCACCTTCAGTATAGTGGCTTACCGACCTGCAGGCCCCTGGGGAGGGTCTGCAAGGTATAGTTATGCTGTATGTAAGGGAATGCATGCTGATCCTTGCTGCTCTTTCTTTTGGATAGGCTAGAAATCGGCAGAACTCCTTTCTGTAAACAAGAGGTTCTCTTGCACAGACATTGTTGTTTCCAAGGACAAGAGAACTAGAAGGTCCTTGAGTTTCTCCCTCGTCTTTTTTGAGTTTCTGAGCTTAGGGTAGAATCTTGTTTGCAGAACAATCCAGAGCTCCTCTGACCACCCATTCCACACAGTCAGGCCTCCAAGTAAGACTTGGAAGGTGTTTGAAAATGAACTCAGTGGTATAACCGTAGACACCAGCACCGTAGTCAGTTGTTTAATTCAGCTTCGTGAGAAAGACAAGTGGCAGGGAAAGCATGCTTGTTTCTTCCCACGGTCCCTGTGTCCATCCATATCTTATGTATGCACTTTAGAAGTTAGTCCTCAGCTGGGCACAGTGGCTCACGCCTTTAATCTCAGCACTCGGGAGGCAGAGACAGATGATCTCTGTGAGATGAAGGCCTACCTGGTCTACATAGTGAGTTTCAGACCAGCTGTGGCTACAGGGAGACCCTGTCTCAAAAAGATTAAAAACCAAGTAACAAAAAGAAAAAGAAATTAGGGGCTGGAGAGATGGCTCAGTGGTTAAGATGGTTGTTCTTGCAGAAGACCTGGGTTCAAATCCCAGAACCCACATGGCAGCTAACAATTGTCCATAACTCCAGTCCCAGGGATCCAACAGCCTCTTCTGAAACCCACGGGCATTGCATGACATGGGTGCACTTACCTACATGCAGGCAATACATACATACACATAAAAATAATAAGTAAAGAAAAAAAGAAAGAAATTAATCTCTAATCCTTATAGAAGATGTGATTCCATGATATTATGTATTAACAGTATAGTGAATTTTTTCCTTTGAAGATGACCAATGACTTGGTGTCATTATGAAAGTATTGTGGGTTTGGTTTTTGTTTTTTTTTTGTCTTTTTGAGACTGAGTCTCCCTGTAGCCCCAGCTGGCCTGAAACTCACTATGTAGACCAGGTTAGCCTTGATGTCACAGAGATCTGCCTGCCTCTGCCTCCCAAGTGCTGGGACTAAAGGCATGCGCCACCACACCCAGCCAAAGCTCAGTTTTCTTTTGAGACTTGGTCTTACAGTATAGCTTAGGCTGGACTGGAACATGATCCTCTGCCTCAGCCTGCTGAGCACTGAGGTTGCAGGTATTCAAGCTCAGGGTTTTCTTTTTTAAAAAATAGTTTAGTTTTTATTTTAATTTTTATGTGTATGAGTATATTATCTGCATGTATGTAAGTATACCCTTGTTGTATAATGCCCACAGAGGTCAGAAGGAGGCATTGGATCCCTGGAACTGGAGTTATAGACAGTTGTTAGCTGCCATATGTGTGCTGGGAATGAACCTGGGTCCTCTGCAAGAGCAGTCAGTACTCTTAATTGCTGCAAGCAAGCTCATATTTTTCTTAATTATAATTTGTTTAAGAAAGCTAAACATTTGTGCACAGAAATGTGAAAGCCTGAATCATCTAATTTTGAATTTCATAATAATAAATTCATAAACGCTATTGTCAGTGAAACTGTTCAGTCCTGAAGAGGCCTGTATTGTTTGGTTGGAGTGCACCTCTTGTTCTCAAGAAGCTTATAGAACAGCATATATGTACTATATAGACGTACAGCCTTGAGTCACATTATGGAAAATAAGAATGCAGGCTCTAAACCTCAAGAATATGTTTAACTAAAAGGCTTTTGTAGTGTTGTGCTTATAATGTGATGTCAGAGGAACATGGTGTCATTTATTTTATTCTTTCTGGATTTCTAGGGCTTGGAAGTATTTTGCACAGAAGACGATCTGTGTTCCGACATCTACCTAAAGTTCTATGAGCCTCAAGATAGAGATGACCTCTATTTTTATATTGCCACCTACCTAGGTTTGCTGGTCTCCCTTCATTGTGTCTGTTCATATGAAGGTAGCTCAATAGCTAAGAAGCTGGGACAGCACACAAGAGAAGAAAATGCTCTCCCCAGAACCAACCCCCCAGGGCTTTGCCTACTGTATTCTCATCAGCAATGAATTGCTGGACTAGTTCCTAAAATCTAATTCAGTCCAAGTGTGTATCTTTAAAACTCTTGACAAATATGTCTAAATATTTTAGTGACACGCAACTTGAGTAGATTACAAAGAGTCTATCCAAGTATTTTTACATTCATTCATGTCTTACCTAATTTATGAAAATTAAGATTGTGTTCTTTAAGGTGACACAGTATGTTTGTGCTCATTGATTGAGATCTTTATCACAAAGCCAGAAAACTATGCAGAAGGGAAGGAGAAGCCCTATGATGAGTCTGGAACCCTTGGAATAGCATCACTGTCCTTAATAAAGATTGCTCAGTCTCATGAAAAGTGAGACTTTGCCCACCTTTATCAGAAGGAATACCTGTACCGTTCTTAATTACAAACTCCATTAAGTTACATGGCTAAAGTGAACTCTTACAGAGTTGTCATATCACTAGAAAGGAAGGATTTTTTTTTTCAATGGGTTTTGAGATTTTTTTTTTTATGGTCATCTTAATTTGTTGGCTTCTCTAGTGTGCAGTTTTGATGGGCAGTTCACTTCAGTGCATCTTCCCAGAGAGCTGAAACTTCCCCTCAGTGAGGAAAAATTTGCTCCCAAAAGAAACATATTTTATGTTGTTTTATAGTTAATTTTTTTCATTCATGGAATGCCTTAAGTTAACATAATGAATACGTAGAAATTTGTTACGAGATTTTTTTGTTTAATCTTCTGAATCCTGGTTTGTTTTCTTTTTCTAACTATAACAAGACAACAGCAAACTGTTCTTACGGTGCATGCTGAAATCCCAGTCAGACTGTGCCTTCTGTCTTCTCTCAAGCTGTTCTTACGGTGCATGCTGAAATCCCAGTCAGACTGTGCCTTCTGTCTTCTCTCAAGCTGTTCTTACGGTGCATGCTGAAATCCCAGTCAGACTGTGCCTTCTGTCTTCTCTCAAGCTGTTCTTACGGTGCATGCTGAAATCCCAGTCAGACTGTGCCTTCTGTCTTCTCTCAAGCTGTTCTTACGGTGCATGCTGAAATCCCAGTCAGACTGTGCCTTCTGTCTTCTCTCAAGCTGCTGCTTCCCTCTGAGCTTCTTGCTAAGATTGCTCACGTTCTTTTCAGAGGGATCTCAAGAGCTGAAAATAAGGGGCAATGTCTTAGTTTTGGAAGTCTTTCCCTAGTAGCTAGTTAGAAACTTGGTAAAGGTAAATAAAAATAAGTAAATACCCAATCAACATATGAGCTACAGTGCTTATAACAGCCAATGAAAAGTTGAAAACAAAATTTTTTATGCAAGACCGCAAGCCCATTGGTTAGTGGGAATGTTGAGTCATGCCACACACTGGGCAAGGGGACTCCTCACTGGCGCATGTCACTGTGAGTCCATTTTCTACAGAGGGGCTAACCTTCTGGTTCTTCTGGTTCAGTAAGTGGCCCTGCTGCCAAATTCCTGGTTTTTTCCTTCAACAGTTTAGGTTTGCTCTTAGACCTTAAGTGCGCAGATAAGAGGTAGCTATTGACAGAGTAGCAGTAGTAGCTTTCCTTAGGCTCTAAAGCAAACAAACCAATATTGCTTTGTTCTGGAGCTTTCACAAATGGCCGTGGTTTTAAAAATGCATTAAGATTTAACTGCCACCCAGACAACTCCCAAATATTATAAAACCTGAACAAATATTAAAATACGGAGCAAATGTACACGTATCATGTGGTAACAGATAACATTTATCCAGCGAATGAAGAATGTGAAAGCGGAGTGACAGCTACCTTCCCGTTCTCAGAACAGAGCTTTCAAAAGTTTGTGATGAGGTCCACATGTTAAGAACCAGGTTCCTACACGTTAAGTAAAAGCCAGCCAGTAACTTGTGGAGCAGAGTGGTGGTCTCAGGGTCCCCTTTCCCCTCAGAGACCCATGTTGCGGAGCACACCGCTGAGAGCTACATGCTGCAGTGGCAGCGGGGATACCTCTCCAACTACCAGTACCTCCTCCACCTCAACAACCTGGCCGACCGCAGCTGCAACGACCTCTCCCAGTACCCCGTGTTTCCGTGGGTAATAAATGACTACTCCAGTGCACAGTTAGGTATGTGCTGTCAGCAGGAGTTCTGATGAGATTCTATTGAAAAGTTATCTTTACTGTTTTTAAAGAAGATACTGATAGATGAACAAATTAGAACTCATTCCTGTTTTCTTACAAAAGATTGCCAAGTTCCATTCCAAGGTACTGGACAAGTGTTGTATAAATCAAATATTTTATATATATTTGCTACTTCTCAAAGGACACACATAGAAAATATGTTCATAATTTTATTTAGTCTTCCCATTATTATGTGTGTCAAGTGTTGAAATATTTAAATTTTTCACTGATAATTTTAATTCAGCTTATCTTACTACTTTTAAATTCACATTATTATTATGATTACCAAAAGAAGTAATTATCCACTATAGGACATTTACTCAAAGGAGGGAATGAAAATCGTACATAAATCATACTACTGAGAGATGACTGGACTCATCAGGCTGTTGTATCACTATGACCAGACACCATAGAAAGGCAGCATAAAGGAGGAAAGATTGCTTTCAGCCCACTGTGTTCAGTCTGTCACAGCAAGAAGGCATGATCAAGCAGAGCCACTTAGTGGCAGCCAGGGAGCAGAGAAAGCCAACACAGGACCGGGACAAGCAAAGCACAGCTCCAAAGATGCACCCCAGCAACCTACTTCCTCGGTGGCCTGCTGCCTGCTTTTCACCACTTCCTAGGAATGCCACCATATATGAGTCCATTAAAGGATTAATCTATTCACTAGGTCAGAGCCTTCCTCATCTGGTTGTCTCAGGAAATGCCATCATGGACACCAAGGAGTGTATTTTACTAGTTTAGACATTTCTCAGTCAACTCACATTGACACTCAAGACTACCACTGACACCACTTTAGTGTCTGTAGCTAGGTATTTCTCTCCTGTTCCATTAAATCATGTTTAAAAAACCTTATAATACTGGGGGCTGGAGAGATGGCTCCGCAGTTAAGAGTATTGGGTTTGATTCCCAGCACTCACATGGTGACTAACAACTGCCTAACTCCAGTGCCAGGGGATTCTAACACCCTCTTCTGACCTCCACAGGCATTGCACGACACAGGTGCACTTAACATATGTGCATTCATGCACAAAAAAAAAAAATAAAAGGTATTTTTAAAAAATTGATAGTACTGTAATTTTGTTTTATAATATTTTTAAATTGTATTTTATAAATAATTTCTGGGGCTGGAGAGATGGTTCAGCAGTTAAGAACACTGGTTGTTCTTGCAGAAGACCTGGGTTCGAATCCCAGTACCCACATGACAACTAACAACTGTCCGTAACTCCAGTCCCAGGGGTTCCAACAGCCTTCTCTGACCTCTGCAGGCATTGCACGACATGGGTGCACTTACGTACATGCAGGCAATAAACACACATAAAATAAAAATGATAAAATAAAAAAAATATATAATTAATTCCTTTAGAAAATTCAATGAGTTGAAGCTTTGTAACCCAAAGTGATAACAAATTGTCTAGGAATATAAGAATTTATTTTTCTGATAATTTTCACATTTTCCTTAATTTTCAGATTTTGTTAATATGACAATATTATTCACTTCAGACAGAAAATAAAGAATAGTTTTGTATTTTACTTGAAATTGAACTTCTTTTGTTTTTAATTAGAAATGTTTTAATTTTTATTTATGTGTATGTACATGCAGTGCCCAAAGGTGCCAGAAGAGAGCATCAGATCCCCTAGAACTGGACCTAGAGAGGATTGTTAGCCACTGTGTGGGTGCTGGGAACTGAATCCAGGTCCTCTGCAAGAGCAGCCAGTGCTCTTAACCACTGAGCCATCTCTCTAACCCCAAGAAAATATTTTCAGTTAAATTTATTGATTTGTTTTTATGTTTATGTATGTGTGGGTGTGGGTGGGGAGGCAGGTGCACATGTGCCAAGGTGGGTACATGTGGAAGTCAGAAGACAGCTTGTGGAAGTCAGTTCTCTCTTTCCATCATGGGTGCCTGGGGTCCAACTCAGGTATTCAGGTGTGGTGACAAGTGCCTTTTATTCACTGAGCCATCTGGCTGGCCCCAGGGGAGAAAATTTCAAGTCAATATTCAAGGTATTTCAAACTAGAAATACTATTCTTAAGTGGATAACCCATTCTTTGCAGTTATATAAATAATCAACAGACGTGCTTCTTGTGATTTTATCTTAATTTTAAAAAATTTCTTTGAAGAGTGAATTTGAATTGGTTCAGGAGAGTAATGGCATGAGCTTGTTTGTGTTTACAGATTTGTCAAATCCTGGAACATTCAGAGATCTCAGTAAACCAGTGGGAGCCCTAAATCAGGAGCGGCTGGAGAGACTCCTGGTATGTGGGTGTAGGCTCTTGTAAGCCATGACCTGTTTGCACAGTAACTAGAATTCATTCTCCCATACCTAAATGAGCTGTGTCAAGAGTGACGCACTGACCTTACATGCTTTCAACCTTTTAGCTCTAGGAAAATGGCTGCTCACTGTTTATAAGTTTGGGTCTTTAATTTTGGAAGTAGGAGGGTGATCTGTTTAAGGTTTACTGAATGATTTTCATGAAGATACTCTGTGAGAATATTCTGTGAGAAATTGCAAAAAAGATGCCTCGAATTAATTGTGCTTCATTGAACATCAGCACCATTACCTGTAGGCATAGAAAACAAAAATATTTACTTGAGGAACGCTGCTGGTCACAGATGCCATTTCTCTTCGTCTTTGCTGTTCCCATCTAAGATCTCTGTCAGGATCTCTGCTAGGCCTTTACTCCTTGAGTCAGTTGCTATCTCACAACTAATCTTAGCTCTTCCTTCCTATGTTGTAGACACGATACCAGGAAATGCCTGAGCCGAAGTTCATGTATGGAAGTCACTACTCTTCCCCAGGCTATGTGCTCTTTTACCTTGTTAGGATTGGTAAGACTCTAGCATCACCTTCCACTGCATTCTGTTTCTTGTGGATTTTCAGGTAATTCTACAGTCTGATGTAATACTGATTTTTTTTCTCTCTAGCACCAGAGTACATGCTGTGTTTACAGAATGGAAGATTTGATAATGCTGATAGAATGTTCAACAGGTTTGAAATAAACACCTCACTTACCATTTTTTAACATTTCTGATTATATATACACAGTATGCTTGTTTTAAAATAGTATATCTAACCAAAACTGTAAAGAAATGTAAAAGGTAACTAAGCATGGTGGCACCTGCCTTTAATCGCAACACTCAGGAGGCAGAGGCCAGCAGATCTCTGTGAGTTCGAGGCAGTCTGGTCTACATAGTCCCAGGCTAGCCAGGGCTGCATAATGAGACTTTGTATCAAAAAAAGGTTCTTTTAAGCTTTTGTGGTGTGTGTGTGTGTGTGTGTGTGTGTGTGTGTGTGTGTGTGTGTGTGTGTGTATTAAACCAGATTTCTCAATGCAGATTCTTCTGCCCCTAATACCCTGAGCAAGCTTTTCTCATACTATTAGGTATATTTTGAAAAAGTGATTTTTAAAATTATTGTGTCATATTTTTTAAAATGCCATAATTTATTTAAACTAATTTTTCTATTGGGCATTTAAATTATTTCCAAAAAACTTTATTATTCTTAATAATTCTGCTGTGACAAGAGCATTTAAATAGCTTCACACATGTGCATAATTACTATTTCCTCACCAAAATAGAAAAGGAAGGAAAGTCCCCTTCATGTGCCATCACACTGAGGTGCCTGGAGCTCTCTCCTCATGTGTAACTCCTTTGAAATGAGTTGCTAAAGCAGTTGTGCCTATCTCTTAGCATGCATGCACCTTCCATGGAGCAGGGTGTATGTGGTGTGTAGTGGTGTGAATTTGGCTCATTCACCTGTGACCCCAAAGAGGCTGTACCAGCTCCCTGTGCCCCAGTTTTCTCTTTGGTAAGGAGGCCTCACATGGATGTCAACAACTGTGAGTCAGTGAGGTGGGAGTGAGGGCATGGAGCAGTAGGTGTTGCAGAAGGGTGCAGAGGAGACACTGCTGCTGCTGTCTGTGGCTTAGACTTAAATCATGAACCTGCGACTCTTTTCTCATATGTAGTATTGCAGAAACCTGGAAAAATTGTTTGGATGGCGCAACGGATTTTAAAGAGGTAAGCAATTCAGGAAGCTGGTGATTCACAAGGCTTTGGTTTCTAACTGCTCTAATAAAATATGTTTGTTGCCCCCCTCAACCCCGGAACTTGTAGTTGATTCCAGAATTCTATGGTGAGGACATCAGCTTTTTAGTCAATAGTCTGAAGTTGGATTTGGGAAAGAGACAAGGAGGGCAGATGGTTGATGGTGTGGAGCTTCCCGCGTGGGCCTCCAGTGAGTACCTCCTGCAGGCTCGTGTTTCCTGCTTTACCAGTTGCACTATCATTCACTATATTCTGCTTGTTTAAAAGTAATGATACTATTCTCGGCCGAATTAAAGTAGTATCAGTCTATACCAAATCAGAAGCATTATTTCTATATTGCAAAGATATCACTATTACATATTTGAGATACCTAAATGTTGACATGGTTTTTGCCACTGTTCCCCCTTAAGAATTTATATAAGATGGAAAAAACTCACTAGAAACTTGTACGTCTTTAAAAGAAAAATGAAAGAAGCATGTATCTCTTACCTCCTAGAATTCTAGCTCTATGTACAAATAGTTAATTAAAGAAATGAGAGAAGTAAAACGGAGACTGCATAAGGTCTGATTAAGGCTAATCTGAAAGGTCCCCAGGACTTTCTCCAGAAGAGCAAGGATGCCCTGGAAAGCAGTTACGTCTCTGAGCACCTTCATGAATGGATCGATCTGATATTCGGCTATAAGCAGAAAGGGAGTGAGGCTGTGGGGGCCCATAATGGTACGTACTGTTGGCTGAACTTTCATCTAGTGTGTGAGAATGAAGGCAAAGAAGCAAGCCATAGTCTCAGCACTCAGGAGCTGAGGAAGGAGGAACAGGAGTTCATACACTTGTCTCCAAACCAAACAAAAACAATCAAAATATGATAGAACAGTGACTTCAATTCCTATAAAGGGCCCAAGAGTTTCTTTTCTTTTTGGGGGGGGTCTTTTTGAAGCAGGGTCTCCTCCTTGTATCCCCAGCTGGCCTGGAACTCACTATGTAGACCAGGCTGGCCTTGAACTCACAGAGATCCACCTGCCTGCCTCTGCCTCCCAAGTTGCTGGGACTACAGGCGTGTGCCACCATGCTCGGCAAGAGTTTCCTTTTTAATTAAGTAGAAAGAAAATGGCAGTCTACCTCTGAAGCTTCAGTGCTTATCTGCCTCTGAGTTTCCCTTTCTCAGAAGCAAAGGACTTGAGTTGAAAAATCGTGTGATTTCTCATGTGAAGTGCAGAGTCATTCCACTGCGGTGACTTATGCTTCTTAAAGGAGAAAGTAACACTAACATTGGAAAACACCAAGACGACTGGTCATCAAACGTGCTGGTTGCATGTTTGTTCACCGGAAGATACTAATTCAAGTTAATATTTATTCAACTGAATATTAGTCTGTTTCACCAAGTGAAAATGAATTTTTTTGAACAGTTTTGAGTTGCTTACATTCTGAACACAGTATTTATAACTAAATAGTACACTCTCAATAGTGTTTATATTTCTCCCTCAGTATTTCATCCCTTGACCTATGAAGGAGGAGTAGACTTGAACAGGTATGTACATGTCTGCAAGGCATTTCTGTTTGAATTACAAATACTTCTATCTAAATTATAAATATAATTATTTGAAGATATTACAGTATGGAAATTTTGAAACAATTTCTAGCTTGCTTTCAACATTATGTTAGTTACTAAGACTAAAAAAATAGGGATTGGCTGGGATGTGGAGAGATGGCTTAGCAGTTAAGAGCACTGGCTTCTCTTACAAAGGACCCAGCTTTGATTCCTAGCACCCACATGGAGGCTAACAACTCAGTTCCAGGGGAATCCAACGCCCTTTTCTGACCCCCATGGGCATTGCACGACAGACAAGAGTGCACTTACACACATGTAAACAGTACACTCATGTATACGAAATAAAAATAATAAGATTTTTTTTAAAAAAAAATAGCAGTTGGAGAGATGACTCAGTGGTTAAGAGCACATGCTGCTCTTATAGACAACCCGAGTTGGGTTCCCAACACCCAGGTTGGTAGTTCACAACCACCTCTAACTCCAGCTTCAAAGGATCTGACACCCTCTTCTGGCCTCCTTAGGCACCCACATACAACATGGCATTCACTCACACAGAAACACCTATACACATAAATAATAAATAAAAATAATAAAAATTAATTGTAAAGAAGGAAAGAATCTAAAAGTCAGTGAGGCACTTTAAATCATCTTGGCCACAGCTGTTTCTGAGGTTTACTCTCTCCTGCTGACTTGCTTTATTTGAAGCCAGTGCTTTCTGAGAACTTGAAGCTGAATCCGGTGGTCTATCACATCATTATGTTTTGTCCTATAGCATTGAGGATCCTGACGAGAAAGTAGCCATGCTGACCCAAATTTTGGAATTTGGGCAGACACCAAAACAGTTGTTTGTAACACCACATCCTCGAAGAATCACCCCCAAGTTTAAAAGTTTATCCCAAACCTCCAGTTATATTGCATCTATAACAGATTCCCCAGGTAAGTTTTTTAGAGACTAACGTAAGAGCCTTTTGTTTCACTTTTCTCATTAATATATTTTGGAGATTCTGAAGCAGAGCCAAAACATGAGCTGCTATATTGATTACAGATGTTCGCCTTATGGGACTTGAGTGGTAGAGCCCCAGCTTAGTGTGTGCAGGGTCTTGGGCTCAGTCCCAAGTACCACAAAATAAGCAAATAAAATAATGTCCATTCCACTCCTGGTTTTGTTGTTTGTTTTTAACTGGATTCTGAGTGAAATCGAGTCACTCCGCTTTTCTGATGATTTGCTGTGACGTGATTGATGTGGTTGCAGCTTGTGGTTTCAGGAACTGCTGTTTGGGTTTCAGCAGATCACCGCTGTGCATGGCTGCTGTAACAGTCACCACCCCCCCTTTTCTTTCCCAGAAATGACTTTCTCTGTCCCCACCTGTGCTTAACCCAAGGTGCAGATCTTGAATTCAGTTCGTAATGCTCTGCTTTTTATGTGACCCTTTTTTTTCTTGTTTAACATGGAACACATATGTGCTGAATATCTCCTCTGTCCAGGCATATGCTAGCTTCTAAAATTAACTTGAAGGAAGGAAAGAACATATACTTCATCCATTTCATTGTGTTGCATAGGCCACATAGAACCTCCCAGGAAGAGCCTGTGACCACAGACTACCTTGTCCCTGCATTTCTTTGCACTTCCAGTTTCTGTCCCATGACATCTGGGCTGCTCAGGAATGCTGAGCCCTGAGCACACCACCAGAGTAGTTGAACTGGCTCTCCAGCGTGAGGAGCAGCTGACGGCGGCCTTACCCAGGGGTGGCCTAGAATACTGCATTAAGATATACAGGGCTAAGACAAAAAGACTGTAGGATTATCCTCATGCCTTAGTCACCAGCCACACCACCATCATGTGATCGTTCTAACTAGGGTAATTGTTGCAGCTTTTCTTAATGCAGGAGGAAAGCATTACTAATGTCCAGAAACCCTTGAAGAACCAGGAGCTTTATTTGACTTCTTGTTTGCTCTCTCTCTCAAAACCAAAATAAAACTGCAGCATTCTTAGGCAACTGCTGGGTTTTGCAAAGGCTGCTGACAAGGAAATGGTTACTCAGACTTTTATTTCCTGTAATGTCTAAGCTAGTGGTCAAGTGACGACTTTGCAAACAGTAAGACGCTGATATTCAGTGATACTTTTCTGTCTGTATAATTGTTCTTAGCTAGCATAGGGCTCTCTTACAAGTACATTTGAAAGCATATTTTGGTAGAGTGTTTGTTTTCTTGGTTATTTGGTTTTGATAGAAAACACTGTGAATCTGATGAATACCTCTCAATAATCTAGCTGGTTCACTTAGTACCAATTTTATTCAGTCTCTCCAGGTGAAGAGTCATTTGAAGACCTGACTGAGGAAAGCAAAAGTCTAGCCTGGAATAACATCACCAAGCTGCAGTTACATGAGCAGTATAAAATCCACAAAGAGTAAGAGGACCTTGAGCTCCATGCAGCCTTTGTAGCTGGGGTCTCTCTCAGCAGGGGTTAGAACTGGGGAGCCGAGTCACCAGGAAGGTGTCGGTTTAGTATTGCGTTCATTGGTTTCTAGCCTCCAAAATGTCTATAGTGATTGTGGTGTGAAATTGCAGTAGCAAAGGGACGTCTGGCACGAAGTGATTTGTGTTGGCCCATGCTTGCTCACTGTCATTCCTGCCATCTGTTGTTCTAGAATGAGATTCAGTTGGCAGACACCATGTAGTGTTGTGCCTCTCAGCTGGATACACCAACTCTCAAGTCTTAGTATAAACCTATAGGACAAGCATGTGTGTCCTCAAGGCTTGATTTACTATAGTGTACGAGGAAATATTTCTTTCAAAAAATAATGATCTTTAGTCCTAGCACTCTAGAGGCAGAGGCAGGCAGATCTTCCTGAGATTGAAGCCACCTAGGGCTACAGGGAGACCCGGTCTCAAAAAACCAAAAAAATAAATAAAACAATAATAGTGAGGGAGATGGCTCAGTGGGCAATATTCTTGCCATGAAAGCGTCAGAGACAGAGTTTAGATCCCTGGAATGCACCTAAAAGTCAGCAGGGTGCCACCTAGAATCCCACAACTCAGGAAGTAGAGAAGATCCCTGGGGCCAGCTGGCTAGCTAGTCTAGCTGGAATTGGTGAGCTCCAGGTTCAGTGAGACCCTACCTCAATAAACAGAGAGAGCAGAGAGCCATCAAAGAGGATACCTGGCATCAACTTTGGGCTTTTACATGCATACCCACCCTCATAGACACATGTGCCCACACACATGCACACATATACACATGTAAAAACAATAAATAAGATGGGTGAGTGAACAAATGGATGGATGATAAGTGGATAAATATAGGGATCTTGTTATATAATGATAACGTGGAGTGAAGTAGAGAGGGGGAGGGGAGAGAGAGAGGAACGGACAGGGAAAGGGGGAGGGAGGGAGGGAGGGAGGGAGGGAGAGAGGAAGTCCATATGAATTTTTTTTTTTGAGAGTGTCTCCCTGTAGCCTCAGCTGGCCTGGAACTCACTGTGTAGACCAGGTTGGCCTGACCTTATCTCAGAAATCCTCCTACCTCTGCCTCCCTAGTACTGGGATTAAAGACTTGTGCCACCTTGGCCAGCACACATGCATTTTTTAAGTGACACTTGTAAGTTCAAAGAAGTTGTTGCTTGTTGTACCCCAAGGGTAAGCTTTCCATGTCCATCCTGTTCAGGTTGTTAATGTCCTCTTTTGGAAACCCTAAAAAACTCTGGCCTGGCATGGTCTAACCTGCCACAGAAAGAAAAGCCAGGTGTGTAGCTCAGGCCCTGGGTTAGCTCCGTGGCTGTCAGCAATCCATCAGACAGGTTGGTGGCTATGTGCCCCATTGATCATAGGTGAACCTGGATGTGCTAATGCCTAGCTTTGCCTTGGGTACCTGGCCCAAAGCAGAGTATACCATCTTGAAAATCGACAATTAGTTCTACCCTGTTTGTTATTTTAAGAATGGCTTTTCTTCACTCAACTTCCCAGAAACAAGAGACTATGTCATCCAGGACAGTGAAGTGAAAAAACCTCTAGTGCTGGTTCAGGTAGCATTTAATGACTCTCCTCTGGAAGTCCTCTAAGAATACCTGCTAGAACCAGATGATTATATCACTGTCAGACATTAGAGAAAGTAGATTCCAAATAAAAAGCAAGCTAAGTGATTATAAAAAATAGATACACGCCTTTAATCCCAGTACTCGGGAGGCAGAGGCAGGCAGATCTCTGTGAGTTCAAGGCCATCCTGGTCTACATAGTGAGTTCCAGGACAGCTGGGGCTACAGGGAGACCCTGTCTCAAAAAGACCAAAATAAAAAAAGGATAGATACACTTTGGTGATGGTCAGATAAGGTGGATTGTAGAAGTAGTTTCCACTTGCCAGAAATCAGAAATGTGTTAAGCATTGTCTACAGCATCTTGGAGAGCTGAAAATAGGATTGTTTTTTAGCAGCAAGATATTGTCTGAGCAAAAGGTGGGCATTGCCAAGCAATGATTTGGGATCCAATGAACAGCTATGAAGAAAAAAGGTCAAGGAAACCCTTGAGACTGGGGAGATGGCTCAGTGGTTAAGAGCACTGACTGTTCCTGCAGAAGACCTGGGTTCGAATCCCAGCACCAACATGGCACTAACAACCCCTCCATAACTTCAGGAGATCCAATGCCTCCTGTCGTCCACAGGCACTGTATGACATGGGTGTACTTACACACATATAGGCAATACACTCATACATATAAAATTTTTTTAATTATTTAATAACCACATACTTAGAAGAAGCACTTCATTACATCAGCATTGACATATTCAATAACAATTTTCTGAGCTAGGCTGCATCTCTTACAAAATTGGCTGTACATTCTTAGGTTTACAGTTGAATTACCACAGTTATACAGTATAAACCCTATAAGACATAAGATTAAATGAGGTTTTAATCTTTAAAAAAGATCTCCATTTCATTATTAAAATACAAAAGAGATAAAGAAGAGATCCCAGGCTGGAGAGATGGCTCCACAGTTAAGAACATTGGCTGCTCTTGCAGAAGACCTGGGTTTGAATCCCACATCCATGTGGTAGCTAACAACTGTCAGTAGCTCCAGTTGCAGGGGATTTGACACCTTCTTCTTTCCTCTAGGGGTTCACTCACATGCATGCAGGCATAACACTCCATTATACTTTTTAAATTTTTTAAAAAATTTTTAAAAACATGTTTAAACAAGGAAATCTGGTAAAAATAAAGCATGAACTTGGTGCAGAGCAGGTGTCCTAGCACATGACTGACAGTAATTTATGAAACTTTTGTTTTTAAACAGGGCAGTCACAGGGATAGCAGTGTCTTGCAATGGGTCTTCAGTCTTTACTACATCACAAGGTATGTTTTCCTTCCTGAAAAGCAGTTTAACTGGAATCACATGTCCATGCTTCTTAACGCTTGGTCAGGGACTTCACTGGCTTGTGCTGCTTCCACGTAAAATGGACTTAGAGCAGTTTAATTGTGGTTTTCCAAAAGGAAAGACCTTCCATGGCTAACAAGGTTTCCTTGTATGAAGACACAGGCAGGAAGAGCCTCTTGGCTATGCCCTTGCTTAGTCCAGACCGTCTTACCACAAGAGATTCCGGGTATGCTGCAGGCCCTGCAGGAGTGGGAGGGTCGCAAGGGCCAGACATGGGCCACCAGTGCAGTGTGGATTAGTGTGTAGAATGCAGATTTGTTGTTAGGTTATAGCCTTGTCATTCAGCGTATGTCTCTAGAACTGTTTTTGTAGACTTTTGCTTGAAATTGAATTCATATATTGATAATGTGCCTAGCATTATCAAAATTATAAAAACTTTTCCAAGTGCCTTGTTGATAACTATATTTTTAAAATACATTAGAATTTGAGTATCTTGCTATTAACCAGTAAATGTATCTTTTGCTGTTTGTATGTTTTCCTCAATTTCTGTATAATACAGGGTTAAAGTGTATCTCATTCCTGCTACATTCAGAGCACCAGGCTGGCATTCCCAGGGGTGCAGAGGTGAACAGGATAGTATAATGCCCTGCTTTAGCATCAAAACAACCAGTTCTGACAAAGTTAGTAGCTGTTTTTCATGAAGCTACTTGGTCTTTAGTCCTTGACTATCACAGGAGATTGTATTTTTCACTCATTATGTTTAGAAATGATGCTATACAACTAACAACATCCAGGTAAACATAACAACTACCGATTGTGTTACTGTGGTTTGTTATCTGGAGCGTTTCATTCTTTTCAAATACCATCTTGGATTCCATAAGATAGAATTTTCCACAAAGTATACAAAATGATTGTAGAGTCGCTCATAAGGAAGGTCACATGGAGGACCCACACTGGACTTGCAGGATCTCTATAACGGTATTCTGGAAGAAGGGAGCAGTCTGTGTTTTGCCAGGATTTCTGTCTGCAGTGTTGGCATTAATCAGCAGGCAAGCCCTGCCTTCAGCCAAGCCCCAGTGGTTAAGGGGATTTGCCTGGTATGGTTTGTCAAATCCTCAGCTCTTTGCATTCGTGTGACCTTGTGAATCATGAGTTTTCTGAGTATCAAGGCTTCAGACCTCTCCAGCTCATCAAGCATTATATTGCTACCTTGTGGATTTGTGAAACAAAAAGGAGGGATGTTTTAAGTCAAATACTTTTGCTTTTTTGGTTTGCATTTTTGCAAAGTTGTATTTTCATGATTTATATTATTGATTTATATGCATCCTAATGTTCACCTCAGTTAAATTTCTTCCTCAGATAGTTTAGGATTGCGAGCGCTCAGAGGACCTAGCCCTGAGAAATTAGCCTTTACTGCTTTCTTTAACCTGCTAATTTCTAGCCCAGAGAGAGCAGCTTTGATTTTGAGAAAACTGTCTTTACACCTAGCTGTTTTGTGGTGTTCTGCAAGATGCCCAAGTTGCCTTCAGATTACTTTGTGGTGAGCACACAGAGTTACCTAACAGGCTCAAAAGCAAGGTTGGGAGGATACACCAAGATTACTATACCCTTCAGGGAAAGTTCAGTGCTATTATGTTCAATCTTCTGTGTTTAAGCTAATTATAAAGTTTTATTGAGGCTCATATTTATAAATTCTCAAGAATTCTGTTGCCAAGATTAGGTTGAAATATAGAGATTTATTATAGAGAAGAAATTTATTTAAATCTTATTCTGATATTGCAGCATGTTGAATGTTTAGCAAGTGGGTTACTGCATATCTCAGTGATAGAAAATTTGTAGCAACATTAAGGGATAGTGATTTGTGAGTCTTGGAGTTTTGTTTTTGGTGCTGGAGATTGTATCCTGGGCCTCACCATGTAGACAAGTGCTCTTCTGCTGGCCTTTTAAGTGGTTGTATTGGTAAACTTGCAAAGCTTCTGTTAGTCAAGGAAATTAAAAACGTGAATATTTTAATTCCTACTTTATTATTCTTTTAAAAGTTAGTGGTTCTCTAGCTGTGTGTGGCGGCACATGCTTTTAATCCCAGCATTCAGGAGGCAGAGGAAGGCCAATCTCTGTTCAAGGTCACCTTGGTCTACATAGTGAGTTCCAGGCTAGCTGGGGCTACACAGAGACCTGTCTCAAAAAAAAAAAAAAAGTTGGCGTTCTCCTCTATAAATGTCAATTCGGAACATGGATGTAGTATCATAATTGGACTGTTTGGGGGGGGGGTTAAAGTTACTTTTTAATCAAGATTTTTCTTTTCTTAAAATTACTGTTTTGACTTTTAAGATTTCTGGCTTCCTCTCTGTAACTTTTCACTCACTTTGGTGGCCAGATTCATTGCGCAGGCCTGTGGACAGTCCACAATAAGCCATGTCTGTCCTGGGACTTCTGGGATTTCAGCTGATCTATGTGACATGATAGGTCATACAATTGTAACATTAGCAAAGTGTTAGATCACCCAGCCCATGTACACTTAGTTCTTGGTGGAATTACAGACTGTTGGCCTCCAGGAATAGGTAGGGTTGCTGTCCTTTAGTGTCTATAATGGTTAGAAATATTTCATGTCTGTGTTCTAATTCTTAGATTCCACTTTGAAGATGTTTTCTAAAGAATCCAAAATGCTACAGAGAAGTATATCATTTTCCAATATGGTAAGTTAATTTCATCAGTGTTATGGTAGACCCTGGAGCCTGGAGATCTCTCACTGTTTGAGCATTTGCCTCGCATGTCTGAACAAAGGGAGCAGAAGGAGGAAGAGTGGCTTCAGGGCTTCTTTCTCATACTATTGTGATTTCATTTTAACCTCAAATCTTGGAAACTCTACCCAGTAGAACTCTTCTTATTAAGTCTATCCTTTCTTTTATCTATCTGGGAAAAAAAAATTTTTCTGTGCTACTTCAATAACTTAAGTGTTTGTGAGTTGGTCTGTCACTCATTGCAATAAAACTTTGCTTTTTTGAGATGGATTCTTACTGTACAGCCCTGGCTGACCTGGAACTGTCAGTGTAAACCAGGCTGGCCTAGAACTCACAGATCTGCTTGCTTCTGTCTCCCGAGTGCTGGGATTAAAGCTGTGCACCCCTAATGCCCAGCAATAAGACCAATTCTTAAAGAATGTGTTTTATTTTTAATGTAAATCCTCCAGAAGATTTTGAAATTCCCTTAGAAACTTTGTACAATTAGTCACATACGTCTGTAATACAGGGAGGGGCAGTTTTATCCTTGAGGGTTATCCCCCCATGATTTACTCTGGGTATTAGCAGAGTTCTTCCAGCCCCATAGGAGCCTGAGCGGTATCAGGCTAAGATGTTGTATACTTACCCATTTGAACATTTAGGAGGAAACCATACATTTGCAATTAGCCAGTTATGAAACCCTAGGTAGTATGAGGGAAGGCACTACAGAAAGATTCTATGCATGGATTTGTCAGGACCTCATAAGAGCTGTACCAGTGAGGGGCTTATTATTTATTGCAAATTGTTAATGTCAAACCACTTGTATTTCAGGCTTTATCATCTTGTTTACTTTTGCCAGGAGACGCCACTGTCATAAGTTCTTCTTGGGATAACAATGTGTATGTATCTGTGCGTGCTTCTTTGTAACTTACTCCATATGCTTAGTGGCCGCCTTTGTGGATATGAGGGATGAAGGGCAGGCAGAACCTTCCATTGGAGGGTACAGTGTTAGAGATGAGGAAAATATCCCTGGGTTCAAATACCATTACTTGAACATAATAATTTCTCCAAGTATAATCTATATTTTTTTCCAACTGTTAAAATTAGGTGAAATGCAACCAAGACAGATTGGGAAATATCTTATTTCACATTCAAATTTGGATATTTTCATTTTATAACATGAGAACAAGCAATTTGTAATTCTAGCAAGTCATAGAAAAAGTAGAACTAAATGATTATTAGTTTCTTAAATATGTTTGTCTTAAAATTAACCTTGAGTATTATTTTAATAGTTCTTGTTATCTTTCAGCTACTTTTATTCCATAGCATTTGGAAGATGCCAAGACACATTAATGGGACATGATGATGCTGTTAGTAAGATCTGTTGGCATAATGACAGGCTGTATTCTGCATCTTGGGACTCTACAGTGAAGGTTTATATATACTTTTAAATTGAAAATGTTTGATCATAAAAGATTGTAAAGGAAGTATTATTGCCTTTTCTTAAAATTTGTGCGCTGTGCATTTCTTTTTTATTTTGGAATATATTTTATTTTTTGGCAATTTAATGTATATAATGTATTTTGATCATAGTTAATCCAAATAGCCCACCCTCTCCTGGACTCTCCCAAAATCTTCCTACACACCATCATGCTCTCTTCCCTTTTTTCTTATAACCCACTAAATCCAGTTAGTGCTGTGTTCACATGCATGTGTGGATCCATGCACTAGAGCTTGGGCAGCCTACCAGGCTCCACACCTCAGAGGAAAATGATGCCCCCTCCCCCAACATCCAGCTGCTTCTTGACTATGGGCAGAGCTTCACATGGTCCTCTCCCATCCAGGCTGGAGTACTGACTGGCTTGATCTTGTGCAAGTCTTGTGTGGGTAACCATTGTTCATGAGTGCAACAGCCACGTCATGTCCAGAAGGCATTTCATAGCACCCCATCCCATTCTACAGGCTCTTACATTCGTTCCCTCCCTTCTTTTCCGTGATGTTCCTGAGCACTGGGTAGTTGATATGAGTGTCCCATGTAGGGCTGAGCACTCAACAGTCTCAACACTTTGGGGGAAGTCTTCTACATTGACTGTGCCCACTGCAGAAAGAAGCTTCACTGACCAAGGGCGACAGCAGCACTAATCTGAGTATAAACAAATACTTAGAAGGCAGTTTGATAACATGCCTATTTGGCAAAACTAGTCATAGGCTTTCCCTTAAGGCTTTTAACTAGGTTTAGAGTACCAGACAGGAATTTTCTCCTGTGGAGCAGGCTTCAAATCCAATCAGAAAGCAACTGAATACCTCCATAGCAATCTCTGAACTATTGTGCAAGTAGGCACATCTAACCTGGCAGGTCAGTCTAGTAACATGTAAGGTCTGCTGCTCGGTAAGTCCATTGATGACTTTTCCCCCTCTATGGTCTGCATAGTGCTTTCTGACCCCATGAAGGCTAGCTATTAGGAAGGAAGTTTCAGCTTGATTTCTCTATATCCTTCAACCAAAGTGTGTTGTGTCTTCAGTAAATGATGGGTCTCCTTGCATATTTCTTAAGAACTGTATCAGTTTCTGCACACTGACTCTACCTGGGTGCTTATTCCAGGCACAGCTGTAGAGAAGTACACAATAGTAGCCCTTTTTGATGACCGAAACTACTAGATTAGTTAATGAGAAAATTTTAAGTTAAATTGAGGAATTTATTAAGAGATCTATTTCATTTGAATCGAAAACATGTATATGTATATTCATTAATCATTTTCTTGACGTAAGACTCCATGGGGCCCTTTCTTTGGACTCTTATGCAATTTTTCTGCATGAGCCACACCAGTACTACTTACCTTAGATTTCCAGTTGCATCTGTGTTGAAGAACACAAGAACTAAAACCATTATAGTTCTTGCAGTTTTTCAGAATTTTTTTTCCTCCAACCTTTTACATATGTTCACCTTCCTATAAGTAATTTGGGATTTCTGGTGACTTGAGTCCACTTAAAACATTTCTGCATTCATATTCCCTTGATTCACACAACAGTCGAGATCATACAGCAACATGTGCAAAGGATGCACACAGACACAGGCAAGCATGCGCCCACAGGGAAAGAGCCAGTGTGGGAGAGGAACTGGACCTGTCCCAGCTCTCCTTGGCAGGCATGTTGAATGTGAGCTGTTCTGAAATGTGTTGAGAATTTCATATTAAAAGTTTAAACATATCTTCTGCAACGTGCTCTATCCTAGGTGTGGTCCGGTGTTCCTGCAGAGATGCCAAGCACCAAAAGACACCAGTTTGACTTGCTGGGGGAGCTGGAGCATGATGTCAGTGTGAGTTCAGCAACAAAAATCGTGGTTCAGAAGGTGGGAAGTTCTTGGTTTTTTACAAGGTGTTTTCCTTTGATTTCCTTTGCATATTGGAGATTGGAGATTGCAGACCAACGCTCGGTTCTCTGTGCTGCCTGCTACATGTCCGGTTCTGCTTTCCTTCTTCCTTCCTTTGCGCCTTTTTACTCTCCTGGGAGTTAGCCTGATTTCACAATGTTAGTTCTGAGATTCCTGCTGTCTTCCATGCTTTCTGACCTGGAAGGTGGAAGGAGCCATCTGTTCAGGAGAGACCCATCCCAGAGCTGAGAACAGCAGTCAGTTTAGAATGGCCAATAATGTACAGCCTAGTAGCAGAGCCAAAACCTAACTTGCCCTTGGTTTTGGGGTTTTTGTTTTTGTAAAACTTGTGCTTGCTGTGTCTCAGGCTGTGGTTTACACTACTGCCTCTCCCCACTGGTTGTAAATTAATGCTAAATTTCATCTTTTCAGATTAACTGAGGTTTAAGAATACTTAGTATGTAAATCAGGAAGGTATTCAAATGGAGTGTTCTGGAGGGGCCCTTGAGTCCACAAAGCCTTCAGTAGTCATGGATCAGCCCTGCTTCAGCACTCCACTGTGGTTTATTATTAATGGAGTTAACTTTTTGAGACTGTTTTAGGCTACTTGGAAATAGTATTACAAATCCCTATGTTCACGTCTACTTGTATTTTTCTAGCATATTTCAAATTTTACTTCATCTTAAATGATCATTTGATGAGCTGCTACTGAAATATAATACAGCAGTATTAGCTATACCAACACAGTGCTGACCAAATAGTTGAATGAGCCTAAAAAAGCATCATTAATGCTGTGGATTATTTATCACTGTTTCTTCCTCAGGTAAATACAATCAGTTTAAATGCTGCAAGCACACTGCTAGTTTCTGGCACCAAAGAAGGCATGGTGAATATTTGGGACCTCACCACAGCCGCCTTATTACACCAGGTCTCATGTCATTCAGGGACTGTATGTCATACTGCTTTTAGCCCAGGTAGGTATTATTTTTAATATAGATGACTGCATGCCACCTAAAACTCTGAAATAAAAACACTGTTTTACTGGTAAGAGGAGGCTTTGCCTCTAGCGTGGCTGCTTCATGTCTAGATACTGTGGACTTGTGACATCAGTAACTTATCAGCTGGGTATTGTTCTTGACTCCTCAGTTGTTAGAGAAATCAGCATGTCCAAGGGCTGTTTTACCTCAGGGTCTAAGAAACTGAGAAAAGGATTTCAAGGAGTATAAATAAAAGCAGCTCAGGGACTAGGCACAGTAGATTCAGAAATAAAATATGAGTAATCTAAACCACTTCTGGGGCAGTCAGTCAGCATATATTCATGTGTATCAGCAATTCTGAATTTAGTTTTAGGTTCATATTAAAATGGCTTCGGTCCTCCCAAGTTCTTTGTAACAGTTTTGTTTTTTTTAAACTTCTCACCTTATACTGCAGATAGTCGCCATGTCCTCAGCACTGGAACAGATGGTTGTCTGAATGTGATCGACGTACAGACGGGGATGCTCATCTCCTCCATGACCTCAGAAGAGCCCCAGAGGTACAGTTCCTGAGTGGCACCAAAGGCGTTTATAACATGTTCATGACCGTTTCATCTGGGCCTGTCTGGCCAGGGTAACTTTCTCCTTCCTTCTTGATGAACCATTTCCTAATCATTCCTGCAGGTGCTTTATCTGGGATGGAAATTCTGTTTTATCTGGAAGTCAGTCTGGTGAGCTGCTTGTCTGGGATCTCATTGGAGCAAAAATCAGTGAGAGAATCCAGGGCCACACAGGTAAGTAGGCAGTGTGGTCTTCATCCTGTTGCTAAGATCAACTCAGGCCTGCCTTCCAACGGAGAGCACACTGTTCTCATGCAGACACCTCGTGCACTGTGTAATCTAGGTTGTGAAAATTTCCCTTGCATAGTCTGACTGGCAGATGCTTATGTGTGTCTCTTAGGTTCTTTAGGATTTGTATTTACGTTGGCCTATTTGACTCCAAAGAGTCTTTATTTCCATATAGAGAATTAAAAACCATAGTGAAACTATACAACAGAATCTTTAAAATCATGTAGTTTTTTAAAAAACCTAAAATACTGGAAGTGAAAACTGAGGCTTCCTCTTCGCTAGTGTCAGACTGTGACTCCGACCTCCCAGTTTTCCTGAATGTTCACCAACGACCCATATTAAGCATCTTATTGAAGGTGTATGTGGATAAAACTGTAATACGAACAGCATCATGGGAAGCTGTTCAGCACCTGCATCCTTCTACTGGTCCCTTGGAGAGTCAGTATATTGTCTGCCTATATGTATGTTTTCCTCTTGATTTGAAGGGCTATTTCCCTCTGAGAAGTGACTTCCTACCTTCATTCTCTTTCCTGTCACGTATTTTCATATGGTTATTTCTTCTCAAACTTGTACTGTAAAATCATGTAGTTATGCTTCCCTCCCCCACTTATTTTGTTGTTTAACAGTTGCATTCACATATGAACCTTTAAAAGTCGATCCACACGCATGGCCCACTGAGCAGTTTCCTTTCCATGCATGACATCAGTAATTCTGAATTGCTTAAACTTTAGATCCACATTTCAGTGGTTTTATTCCTCCCAGATTCTTTGTAGCCCTTTTTTCTGCAGACAGATTTTATTAGAGACAAGATGGAGTGCGGCGCTTACTGCTTCTGCTGGTGCCGTTAGCTCGTCACCGTGTCTGCTGCTGACACCTTCTTCCCTGACCAAAATTTGTCTTTCTCTCAGGTGCTGTGACGTGCATATGGATGAATGAACAGTGCAGCAGTGTCATCACAGGAGGGGAAGACAGACAAATTATGTTCTGGAAATTGCAGTATTAAGTGCCTTTTCCTCTCTGACAATTAAGTTGAACTCTTAAGGTATTTTTAAACCAGACTTTTAAATGGTGAATGTGCAATGATAGTAATTAGAAGTTTTACCACATAAAAAATTTGTGGTTTAAACTTTCTAAACCATGGTTGATTTCATTCAAAGCCATTCACTGTCATCCTTTAAGGCAGACAAAATGTGGCAGTGTTAGGGAAGAGAACATTACATTCTAAGGCAGAGGACTATCACAATGTGATAATGGTTAGAAGACTGTACTGGGTGGTAGAGGGAAGCAAAGAGATACAAAATTGGGCTGGGAACTCATTGACCAGCTCAGTTTGCAAGGTGCAGTGTCCGCTGATCTTCTTGGTCTCCCACAGTTGCTGCCACGGGGTTCTTAGTGTGTATGTTTTCATGGATGGATGGATGAACTTTCTGTGATGCTGTATACCAGATTCTAAGAACCTGGAAAGAAATAGTCGTTCTTATAACTGTACGTTTACTGTGTATAGGAATGGTTTATATTTCATTAAGCTACTAAATGTTCATCTTTTCTACATTAAAATATTTTTCTGTAAAGAAGGTAGTGCTGTCTTTCTGTTTCTTAAGTAATCTATAACAAAGACTACTTAGTAGCTTTTAAGAATCACATTAATCCTTCTAGAAAACCATACTTAGTGACACAAATACCATTTCTTTTGAACTCACTTATCTTTAGACTCAAGTCCAGACACAGCAAAATAATCAAACTGGGAAATGCAAATTTCCACCGAAGTAAGGTATACAGCAGTGTGGGCTGGAGCGATAGCTCAGCAGTTAAGAGTACTGACTGCTCGTGCAGAGGACCCGGGTTCGATTCCCAGCACCCACATGGCAGCTACGAACTATCCTTAACTCCAGTTCCAGAGGAATCCGAAGCCCTCTTCTGACCTCTGAGGCATTGCACAACATGGGTGCACTCACACACATGCAATGGGTGCACTCACACACATGCAGGCAATATACACGTACACATAAAATAAAAATAAAAAATAAAATGAGAAATGAAAAAAAAATCGGGGCGTGGTAGTCCACGCCTGTAGTCCCAGCACTTGGGAGGCAGAGGCAGGCGGATCTCTGTGAGTTCAAGGCCAGCCTGATCTACATAGTGA